CAGGAAAGACAATTTAAATCCAGAGCTATCTCTTATTTTTTTCAATGGTTGACTGAGATATAACTAATAGCAGAGGTAGTTCATTTTTTAATATAAAAAGCAATTCTTTCTCATTATAAGAGTAGGACACTTCTTTTAATGGTAGAAATGAGAATTTCAGATATCAATAAAATTAAGATAGCTGGTATGCATAATTTTAATCTAATGACTTAAGATATCAGTTCTGAACCTGGACAGAAATATATTACCTTCATAAAAATAATAACCTGATAAACTGCATCCCCAGTGGCATTGATTGAAAATAAAGTATATGTATATTTGCTTAAACTTAATAATATCTCTGTTCTCATTTTTTATTTAGATTCTTCAGGTAATGTCTGAGAATTATGAACAAAGATTACAAAACAGGTTATTTCTTATCTTCTAGAAGTTAATGAACCAAGTGAACAAAGAAACCACTCTTTAAGTCGTTGTAAACATTGCAAAACAAATCCCTGCACATCTCCTCTACGGTCACACAGAGGAAGCTGTGTGTGACTCTCCAGGGAAAGGTATAGTGAATGTATTGCTCACATTAGGTATCTATCCTATATAATAAAACCCTAATATACAAATTGACTGAACAGCGGAACAGCCAGTCACTATGACATGCACTGACCACCAGGGGGCAGACGCTAAATGCAGCTAAACGCAGGAGCTGCCCCTTGGTGGTCAGTGTGCTCCCACAGGGGGAGTGCTGCTCAGCCAGAAGCAGGGCTCACGGCTGGCGAACATGGCGGCAGTGGTGGGGGCCTCTTCCACCTCCGCGGCAGCACTAAGGACCCTTCAGGGGATGTCCGACTGCCAGCTTAGGCCCAAGGGGTCCTGGACTGCAAGAGGGCGCAGGCCAGGCTGAGGGACCCCTCCCCCCAGTGCACAAATGATCTGCACCGGGCCTCCAGTCTATAAAAATAAAAGCATAATATGCTAATTAGACCAGACGTCCTTCCAGATGTCCTTCCTTCCAGACAAAGCCGCAGCAGGTGGGGGCCATGGCAGAGGCGGCTGCCGCTGCAGGAAAAGCCAATGCTTTTGCACGAATTTTGTGCCTTGGGCCTCTAGTACATATATAAAAGGCTAAGTGACTGATGTACGTCCATCAGACCGTCAGACTGACTGATCAGAAAGTACTTAAGGCATGCACTGGCAATTAAAAATAAACATTGACTCGTGCATGCACGATACATACTATAAAGCTCTCGCTGGCACCAATCACATGCATGTGTTTCCATCTGTCATTGTTGAGCCTGGTTGCTCCGATTCCAAGAATTGATTTGTCCCCGTCTGACACTGGCCTCCCATTTAAATTAATTTGAAGACAGTTTCCCATGATGCCAGCATTTGGGGTGAGTATTAATATATCACAAGGACAAACTCTAGACAAATTAGGTATATTCCTACCTGAATATTCCCAGTCTGTCGGACATGGTCAGTTATATGTTGCTTTCTCTCAAGTTCGAAGAGCATGTGATGTTAAAGTTAAAGTTGTAAATACTTCATCACAAGGGAAATTAGTCCAGCACTCTGAAAGTGTTTTCACTCTTAATGTGGTATAAAGGGAGATATTAGAATAAGTTTAATCAATTTATCAGTCATTGTTTGCATCAATGTTTTTATATCATGTCTTTGCTGTTGTTATATCATGTTGTTATTGTTTATTTATTAATCAATTTACATATTATTTTCATATACATTTTACTAATTTTCTTTCATCTCTGAAACCTCTATTATAGAGAAAGGGCAAATAGCAATATTAAAATATTTCTTCTAATTAATTTCCTTTCCATGAGCATGAGTCTGTGCCCCAGGCCACTAGTTTACTAATGATTGTTGATAAACTGGATCATTTAAACGCTATTGGCTCTTTAATATGATTTGCATGGGAACAAATAGAGAATATGACCTTGTATGCTTGAAGATATGGACTTTATTCTTTCAGTAATACATTTTCCAGGTCTAAAAAAAATCACTCTATTTAATAATCTTTGATAGATTAGAAAGTTCAGCTAACATAATCAACATATGACTGAAGATTATGTTGGAACATATTGGTTTGACTTAATGCTTGTTTATTTATTTATTTATTTCTCAGTTCTATGTAAGTTGCCTTTAATTTTCTATCACCAGTGCAATACAGCAGCTAAAAAACAACACTTTTTCTCAATAGCAAGATGGCATATCCTGGGTTTGCTCATGTCTCTTATTCCAGTTTAACATTTTCATTTGTCTTCAACCTGATGTTTTTACTTTCCCTTGGGCCCTGCCTTACACTGTTTCACAGAGGTGGGTTCGGATATGAGACAATAAAGGAAATGGAATAAATGGAACTAGGATAAAGTTATATGAAAATGCAAATAGAAAGATCATCTTTGTTTATGTGTGAAGATGACCCTTCCAGCAAAATTAACTATTAAGTTTTTCAGTAAAACTATTTAGTTAAAAAAATTTTTTTTTTTACTTTTTTGGAATAAATTATAAAGTAATTAGAATGTAGAAATAGCCGAAACCGGTTTGGCTCAGTGAATAGAGCGTCGGCCTGCGGACTGAAAGGTCCCAGGTTCGATTCCAGTCAAGGGCATGTACCTGGGTTGCGGGCACATCTCCAGTGGGAGATGTGCAGGAGGCAGCTGAATTAACTATTAAGTTTTTCAGTAAAACTATTTAGTTAAAAAAAATTTTTTTTTTACTTTTTTGGAATAAATAATAAAGTAATTAGAATTTAGAAATAAAGAACAAGCCAAAAAGAGTTCTCAACACGTTTCGGTTGGAGGTTTAACTAATTAACACACAGCACGGCAGTAGCTCCATCACATCAGTCCCAGCTGAACTAAACGTAGAATGAAATTGAAAATGTGAGCAGCAAAATCGCAGGCCCAGCTCCCACCACTCAGCCCGCTGAAGGCTGGTTTCCAGGTGGCACAGGAGATCCCGCTGCAGCCACTGCTGGAAGGAGGCCCTCGTGTGTGAAATGCTAACTTGCACAGAAGAGTCCCAGTGCATTTGCCTGCACCAGTTAACGTAATTAGTCCAGGAAGAGAGGGGCCTCGCTGTGTCAGGCAGAAGCTGTCGTTTAACTGGTGGTTATAATTATTTTTAAGTGATATTTACTTTGAGGAGGGAGTTGTATCTGAATGCCACAGAAGGGTGGAAAATTAATCAATGCTATTTCAAATTGATAACTTTGAAAATGAACACATGAATTTGAAACTAAACCAAAGCAGAGTTGAGCAGCTTGAGGGAACATATCCCCTAAGAGACACACAAAAAGTACTTGAAATTCAGGATAAGGGGATTCAGTCATATCATACCTGGATAATCATCAAAATCTTTCTAATTGAATTCATTTGAATCAAATATCTCACTCATGATAATTTCTATTAGTTTCTCCTCTTTTATGTAGTCCTTATTCAATATTTGACATTTTTAGTTTTATTGTAGATAAAATTATACATTTTATTAACCTACTAGAGGCCCAGTGCACAAATTTGTGCACCTTGAAAGGAACTGTGGGCTGCAAGACTGCAGTGGGCACAGGGGAGGGTCTCAGCCCATCTTCTGCACCCCCGCCTGGCCCCTCCTGCCATGGCTCTGGTCCCCTGTCTGCCAGCAGCCCCACTCCTGCCGCCACCGCTCCCATGTGCTGATGGCGCAGAGTGATTGGGGCCGGCACCAGCAACGGATTCGAATGGTGGCTGCTGCCCCGATCGCCCATCAGGAGCAGGGGGAGGTGGAGAAGTCCTCAGGGATGATCGGGGCCAGCAGCCGCCGCTTGCACCCGCTGATGATGCCAAGCGATCAGGACTGGCGCCAGGCACCAGCAGTGGGTGGGAGTGGGGCTGGAACTGGCAGCTGATGTGAGCACCAGGCAGGTCCATGGCACACAGTAGCAAAAAATTTTCATAACCACCAGAGGCTCATCCCAATGACAGCAACTGGCGCCCTGCCTTGGTCTGGCGCCCACCCACTCACCTGCTCCACCATCCCACCGTGGCTGATGCCCGCCATGTTCCGCGCTCTGCTGCCTGCAGACAAAGCCCACCATGTTCCACATGCGCCCCCTGGTGGTCAGCGCACACCATAGCAACCGGTTGTTTGGTTGTTTGATCTATTTGCATATTAGCCTTTTATTATATAGGATTGTGTTTTGACTTATTAACCCAAATTCATTTATCCTTTATACTGAATTGTATATCCCATTTGAGTATTTATAATGTTTGAAGGCCAAACATAGTAGCTGCATGATCACTTTTCTAATGTTACTAGAATTCTAAACTTTCAGATAAAGGCTTAAATACAAGTTATAGGTCTTCATATACACTTGATCTAGACTGTAAGTTGGAGGATAGTACACACTTGACCAGAACCAGAAACACAGCAGCAGTAATTTTAGAGATAAATAAACAAAGTGTTCCAGAAAAGGAGAGAGCACTGTGATTTTTTTCTTTCTTAATCCTCACCAAAGGATATTGTTCTCATTGATATTTAGAGAGAGTAGAAGGGAGGGCAGGAGGGATAGAAAGAGAGAAACATTGATGGGAGAGGAACACATTTATTGATTGCTTCCTGCACTCACCCTGACCAAGGCCAGGGATCCAACCTACAACCCAGGTACATGCCCTTGACTGGGAATTGAACCCTCAACCCTTGGGTGTGCAGGCTGACACTCTAACCACTGAGAAACACCAGCCCAGGAGGGAGTACTACTATTAATAGTAACTTGGAATCAGAAGAGATAGTCCAGTAATTTTAAATCAGTCTTTTGAAGTATTTCTAATATCATCTAAAGGAGCACCACTAAAACAGACAGAACGTGAGGTTATGGACATGCTGTCTCTAAGGAACATCACACACTTATTCTTCCTTAAGTGTCCTGACTAGACTGTGAAATATGTCCACTCTTGTCACATGATCAACAACTAAAATGTTGTCACAGTTACAAGAGAAGACGAGTCGGTGCTTACCACGCAGGTCCTTGCCTTGGATGACAGCCGCCTCCACCTCCTCCCCGGCCACCACGGTGCAGGTGAAGGGCAGCTGCAGGAGCGCGCTGAGCTCGCCAAAGGACTCCTGCTTGTGGAGCTGCCCCATGTAGACCAGCTTCCGGACCTTCTTCTGCGAGAGAGGGGAGTGGCGCTTAATGAGACGCTCAGATCACAGATAAACACTGTTTCTGCCAGAAACGCTGTTCACAAACCAGTGCGGTGTGTGGTGTTTAACATGCATTGCAACTTCATGCAACCAGAGAACACCTGTCCTTACACGGTGTGAGTTCTGTGCTATCGATGGACCACTTCGGCACCTAAGGGACCTGGGAGCACTGCCCTTCAGTGCACATTGCGCTTTTGAATCTGCCAAGATGTTTAGGAAACATTGAACTCATTCCACTCTTCAAAGTCCTAGGCTACCATTTTGTAAGCATCGCGCAGCTTAATATGTTATCTCTGACACAGGGATGAGTTGGTGAGCAGCAAGATGAAAAAAAATAAGGAAAGAAACAATGAAAATACAGGGTAGCCCTCAGGATAGGAGGGTGAGAGGAAGTCTAAAAAGGGGTCTCAAGCCAAGATCTATCTGGAAGGTGTGTCCCCCTTCCAACCAGTGCGCCTCCGCCCGACCTCCACAGGCCAGAGAGCCCACTGGGTTCGCAGTGATGAGCGCACAGAAGATGCCTGGCCAACCAGCAGCTCAGCTCGCACTCCCCATCGCTGCGCATTCGCGTTCTGCCCCTTTGAGAACTTCATAAACCTGGCATCTCATAGACTGACTCGCGTCTGAGCCTTTCGCCCCTTCGTGCAGGTTCTCGAAGGCATCATTCCTGTTTTCCGGGAGGTGTGGTGCTCCACCCCCAGATACCCCTGGTGCTGACCATGCAGCAGGCCCCGGGCACCTGGGTAGCTTACAGCCTCTGGCTAATGAAGGTACATGTAGGTCTTTGCGCAGGCATTTCATTTTATTTCTCTTCAGTGAATATGTAGTGAAATTTCTGGGCCATATGTTACGTGTGTTTCAGCCAACCTGATACCTTATAGTGATACTTTGTGGTGATAACTGACATTTTTCTGATAAATAAAGATGTTAAGCGTCTTTCAATGTGCTTATTGGCCATTAAGCACATTGGTCAATGATATCTTGATCACAACTCAATATATCTTACAACTTATCTTTCATTCTGGTATCTTACAACTCAGTGAGGAGGAGAAAAAAAAAACCAACCAAAAATAGTAAAAAACATTGAATAGAGATTTCACAAAGGAAGACACACAAATAATGTATCCAATAAGCAATGAAAAGATATTCAACATCCTTTATTCACTGGAGTTGATTAACAGATTAAAGAGAACATGAAAGTTTAAAACTTACCATTTTTTTTGGCTGTAATTTCACGAGTCCTACAACATTTCTATAAATGTTACAATGTCCAGAATTAATAAAAGCCACGAAAGGAATTATATTTCCACTTTCCACTATCACTGAAAACAAAAAAGATAATTCATTATTTCACACATTCCTCTCTATAAATGGTGAGTTTATAGAGAATTTCACACATTCCTCTGTAAATGGTAAGTTTCTTAATGGATGCCAGTCTACTGGCAGCACTGGCCTATGACAGACACCCACATCTGGCATCTACCGAGAAGGAAACATTGGTGTGACTGTGGCAGCAGAGGCCCCCCCGCCCCCCCTGCAGTGAATGGGGAGAAGGGCCAGAGGCGGGGGGCAGGGGAGAGAGGGGGTCAAGCCTCAGTTGGCATTTTTGAATCTTTGTGGTGTGAATTCCCTGCCATGCTAAGGCCAAACTGCCAATGGTTCACCAACTGGCTTGCCAGTCCCCGAGTGTGTAACATCCCCGAGCCCGATGGAGCCCGGTTAGCACTCTCCTCTCTCGGCGGGTTTAAAGCAAGGTCCTACGTGACCCGCCGCAAATTCTATTAATCCCTGAGCTTCGGGCTTTTCACCTTGAAAATGGCAAAACTAAGAGTCCCGTTCTATACTTGACGTGGGGTAATTAAGTGCATATAAAGTGCTTAGTATGATGGCTGGCACCTAGATTGCATAGTAAATCATACTGTTAATGTCATTATTTTTTGCTCAGATTTGTGAAGCTACCCTAAGACCAAGATCTGTTTGAAGCTGAACTGGATAATACCTTTATAATTACCCAGGCACTGATTAAAAAGCAATTGGAATAAAAACCTCCTGATCTACATAACATTTTAAATTATCAACATAATTTAATTTAAATAATAAAATCAATTAAACATACATAAATTAAAATTGCTACTTCAAATTGGCTTTTTATTTTGTTCATTTTGAAGCATATCAATATTTTTTCTGCAAACCCTAAAAGTAACAGAGATAACATATGTATAGACACATGTGTCTCTCCCATGATTTTTTAAAGCAGAGTAGTATTCCATTGTGTAAATGTACCACAGCTCTTTTATAATTAAAAAATAAAAATTTTGATTATTCAAAATTATTTATTTCACATTATATAAGAGTATATATCAACATGAGAAAATTTATTTATGTTATTAAAATAATAAGCAGGAAAATAGCATAGCTCTTTAAAAATTATAGTTAAAAAGAACAAGGTAACTATTGATAACATATTTACCATAAGCAAAAATAAAAAATAACAGACAATGGAAAAATACTTTAAGATAAAACAAGTGGCTTTTCAATTTTTTGTTGAAATATTTAAGAGAATATGTTATCTCCCTCTCCTCAGATAAAATTCAGAACTCAAAGTTTATAAAACAAAGACTGAAAAATGATGCTACTGTCAGTAATCAATTATTTTGCCTAAATAAATTATTACGGTAACACTTACACTCTCCTGTACTCTTTTTCTTATAGGCAAACAATGATATTACAAAGTTATTTAAGATATCGAAGTGCGCTTTGTCTATAGAATTCTGTGCAGATTGTACAGATGGGGAATTTCCTCGGAGGCCACACTCATAAAAGCAACGATGGCCTTGCACCCAGGTGGGGACAGTAAAGCCCGCCCTCCTTCCTCCAGTCAGCCAATGGACGCAGAGCAGGCCTGGCACACTGCAAGGTCCCCACAGGGAGAGGTGCACTAAGCACCAGGGAAACCCATGGAAACCCTTTCCTCTTCACTTGCCCTGTGCGCTGCTCTGCCTTTTCTTTAAAAAAATATACATATTATTATGGATGCAGGTTTTTTCATTTTAATTTTATTTCCCACCACCTTTTATCTCCTCTGTGCCCTCTACCACCTCCACCCATCCCCCTGCCCCCTGCAATCACCATACTGTTGTCCATGTCCATGAGTTCTTTCTTTTTTGCTTAAATTCTCTGCCTTGCACACGCGCAAGCATGCGCGTGTGTGCGCGCACACACACACACACACACACACACACACACAGGCTGTCTGCCTGCACTCTATCTATAAGCCTGTCTGTCTTTTGTTTGATGGTTCAGTTTGTTCATGAAATTCTACATATGAGTGAGATCATGTGATACTTGTCTTTCTCTGACTGCCTTTTTTCACTTAGCGTAATACTCTCCAGATCCCTCCATGGGGTAAAATTTTCTTCCATTTTATAGCAGAGTAGAATTC